ATCAGTGTCATTGGGGCAGGGTTGGGCTTTAAGCCTCTAGGGATCTCCAAAAGGACTTTTCTTACATTTTCAAAAATTTAACAATTTGATTTGATTGGGCAATGAAGTCACATGCCAGCACTCAGGAAGCAGAAGCAGGCAGATCTTGGTAAGTTTGAGGCCAGCCTGGCCTACAGAGTGAGTTCCAGGACAGCCAGAGCTATGAAGAGAAGCCCTGTCTCAAAAGTCAGAAGAAAAAGAAAAAAAGAATTAGATTTTTACTAATATTTGGACTTTACCAATTCCCATACCACAAATTATCAAGATAATATTTGCACAGAGATATTCAGAAAGCATGGGCTGTGTCTTCTGTAAGCAAGACCTCAGTTCTGAGTAGAGAGAAACCATTGTGTGTCTAGTTCCTGCTATTTGAAACCTCTGGGAGTTTTTGCTGCCAAATTCTTTACATTCCTGAGTATTTTGTGAGCTTGGGGTTCTGAAGCATTCTTGCTTTGATCATAACTTTCTTTGCCATTAATTCTTGGACACTCTCAGACACACTGTTCGGAATGTAATGAGCATTAACCTGTTGGGACAATAGGCTTTTAGTTCCTTCACTCTTGAGGCAACTTCTTTCCCTGCTATCAATTGCGAAAAAGAATAAAGTGCATGCCTGCTAAGGCCTTTGGAAGTTATCCCCTCCTTCCCCATTTACATGTATGGCTCTGTATGTTAAAGGACTTTAGTTTAAACCTTTGAACTAATGAATCTCTTTCACCACAATTTCAAAAAAGTCTACCTCAATGGGTTCATCCAACCTGGATGGCAGGTACTTTAGCAAGTGTTTGTGTTTGGGGAGTTGTTTGTTGGGGAAGAAATCACATCTCACTTCCTTTTCAGACACCTTTGTCAAACTCCTCCTGGAAGAACATGGCTGTGTTCACAGCTCCTGGGTGTGAAGAAGAATGGCAGGGAAACTACTCCATGCAGTGGTAGATGGCCAAGGCCCTTGGGCACCCATGGGGTGTTAGAAGTCTTGGAAAAATCGTATCTTTAAGATTTTCCTAAATTTCATCCTTTTCTGTAGCATAGTCTATTCCTGGGAATTTGTTCAGAAACTTCATGTTTGGCCACCTAGGTCTCCATTTCAAATATCTATTAGGCCCATGGTCCCATCACTTACGTGAATATCAGTTTGACATATGGTCCCTTCTGGTTTACTGATGATACAAGAATTTTTAGCTCCAGGTGATGGTGGGAGGCTGGGTAACCTCTTACTTCCTCCTGCTCTTATCCCAGACACAAACCGAAGTTCAGCTGCACTAAAGTTCAGCCTGGGGAACCAAAGTTTCTCAGTGCTACTTGCAGAGTTTGAGTGAGGGTTATTGACACAAACTCGGGTAACCATAAACAGACACAAGATAGGATAGATATGGAGTATTATATCTGAATTTGTCAAATGCAAATGGACTAGACATTGTTGATGTATTTATTGCCTTGTATATTGTATATAGTTTTTGCACTTATTGTATATAGTTTATATTATATTATGCTGTATTATCTTAGTTATAGCCTTCTTTTCATTTTAGACAAAAAGGGGAAATGATGTGAGCTGCCCCTCTGTATGCTGTGAATATGTTTTATTACCATTGGTTAATAAAGAAGCTGCTTTGGGCTACAGCAGGGCAGAATATAGAAAGGCAGGAAATCCAAACAGAGCTAGCGGAGGGAAGAAGGCAGAGTCATGGAGAGGCAGGTCAGCCACTGAGGAAACGAGACATGTAGAAAATGAGGTAATGCCACGGCCACATGGTAATACACAGAATAATAGAAATGGGTTAATTTAAGATGTAAAAGCTGGCTAGAAATACACCCTGAGCCATTGACCAAACAATGTTGTAATTAATATAGTTTCTGTGAGATTATTCTGATCAGCCAGGAAATGAAAGCACAGTCTCTGTCTACACCCTGGGACGTGTGCACCAGCAAGGATCTTGTTCTTTCTCCACTCCTGCCTGACCTGATGTAAGATGACAGCAGCTGCTGCCCACTCCTGCCAGTGAGCTGCCCACCACCATGCCTTCCCTGCTGTAATGGACTCTATGAGCTCAAACTGTAAGCCCAAATACGTCTTTCCTCTCAAACAAGGCATTGTCAGGAAGACGTTCACAGCCATGAGCACAGTGGCAGACCCCTGTTTTTATCGACTTTTCTTTGTGTCCTGGGCTTCTTCCGGGCAAGCACATGTCTGTGTTACATAAAATGGGGGAGCTATGGGGCACACAAGTGCCAGTAGAATAAGCCCTCAGCATCTAAGAATGTGCATCCTTGAAAAGAATAGAAAAGTCAAGGTTAAAGTCTCAGAAGGAATTCGAGGAAAAGGTTTTTAAACATTAACATTTCTAGAAATTGTCCATTTCCAAAACATATCATTTCTGCTGTCTCACTTTCTCTAGGGTTCCATTGTGTGCGGTGGTTCAGTAATAATTGTGTAAAGTTGTGGGCAGCCAGGGAAGAGCCTCTCGTCCCTTGATTTTTTTTACCACACAGACTATGCTTCTTAGTTTAATATTTGCAATCACTTTATTGAATTGAAAACGAATGCTACTTTATTTGCTCAAGACTTGGCTATGCTCCTGTGACTTCTTGTGTAACATGAATAGTAAAAACCTAGAGACAGATATTGGGGTTCAACCTGAAAACCAGAAAAGCAAAGCAGCCAAGCCACTAGAGAAGTCTTAGGTCTACCAAGACTGGGCAACTGCAGGCTAAGCAGACTAAGCAGATAGAGCTTCTCTCCCCTCCCATTTTATGTTCCCTCTAGTGTTGGGATTAAAAGTGTATGGCTCCCTAGTACTGGGATTAAAAGTGTGAGGCAGCACGACCTGGATTTGTTTCTGCATTGATCTTGTGTAGCCCAGGGTGGCACAGAGATCCATCTGCCTCTGTCTTCCAAATCCTGGAATTAAAGGTGTGTGTCGCCACTGCCTGACTTCCAGTAGTTTAGCTTTTGCCCTGATCTTTAGGCAAATTTTATTTATTAAAATATAAATAAAATACCACTATGTTCTTGGATATTTTACACACCATGGTTGAACTTATAAGTACTTGTTCCATGACTAGAATTCTCCCAGTACATAAAAAAGGGGGACTGTGACCAGTCCCCATCTTCAACCCAGCTCCTGGAGGCATACTGACCAGATATACACAAAAAGCAGCAATTAACTGTTGAGAAATTCAGTTAAGATTCACGAGAAAAACACACATGCCCAAACATTACATAATTTTAAATTGTACTGTTGTATAGGAATCTGCTTTATTTCCCAAAATGAATTGCTCATAATAGGTTTGGTTAGCTACAATCACAGTTTAGTCTATTATAAAATGATGGTATCGCTTCTCTCCCCACTTCATGTTGCACTAGAAAATGGACAATCTGCAGCAAATCAGAGTTTTACCGACTGCATGGTCTAGGTCATGAAAGGAATCCTATTGGTTCAGGACGCCCAAAGTTCTCAGCACAGAGGAGACTTATTTGCCACAGAGGGACAGAGGGCAGGGATAAGGGACAAAGACAGCAGATAGAGGAAGATGGAGAAAGAGAAGGGACCAAGGGAGAGGAGAGAAAAGGGACAAAGGAGAGGGATAAGAGGCATCTGTCCCAGGGAGACAAAGGACTGTCTCTGGACAGAGAGGAAATAGACATGGCACATAGGAAAATATATAAACCACTATAAAAGTCAAATGATAAACCCTGTGTTCAGATGAGGTGTTTAATTTTAATTAGGCATGCTAATTAGGTGAGCCAAAGGGGGCTTTTGATTTCTGAGCTTCAATACTTTGATAGCTGGACCTTGATAGTCTCAGGAGGAGGAAGTGGTCAAATAAGGGAACAGACCTTGGTGGCTAGCTTCAGAAATGTAATCTAACGGTTCTTTAGCAAGGCAGAAGGAATCATGAAGAAGAGAAAGGTCTGCCAGAGGTGTGTTTGCCAGGCCCATGCTGGCTAGAGTACCTTCATGTCAGCAGAATGAATACTTGGCCCCTGTCAGTATTCGTTCATGTACAAACACAAGGATATTCTATCTTGTAAAGAAATAGTGTGGGTGGATGTACACAATGACATGGGAACTTCGTGTTCACATAAAAATGAGTGAGCTGAAATAGATGAATTAATATATTTGAACAGATGTGTCAATGTTACTCTTTGAGAAAGGGTGATGTAAATCCTCCTACAAAAATTCTTCAGCCAATTTATTTTAGTGTACTGCAGAAGAGATATTATATTATAACAACATGATGCAAAAGCAGCATGCCTTTATATAATCTTGGCAGTTCCTTCAGTCTTGAACCTCATTATCATAGGCTTGATGTACAAAGAATCTGAAGTAAGTTTTGTTCACGAGGCTGGAAATTTGAGCTTCCATGCCTCCTCCATGTCGTTTCCAGATCTCACCACGATACCAGATCAACACGATACCACCCAAAACATATTAGAATAATAGTATGTATGATAGAGGCTGAACTTAACGAATCCTGCTGTTATCCTAAACACAGCACACAGTTTATTTAGCTGTTCTTCATGGAAGCTTCAAGCTTTCCTGCACAAGGATTTTGATTTTGACTTCATTATCCCACTGCTCCCAGACACCTGTCCTTGACCCTCCCTGTGGGTTTTACAAGCCAAGATGCTAGACCCCATGTAACATACTCACTCCATCCATGAATAAATTACCCATTATTGAGATGTTGCAATGACTGAGATGTTGATTATTACACATGCTTTTCATCTGCTCTTGTGACTCGTGAACACAATTTAAATTAATTGGTCATGTTGCACACTCTTTAGGATTTGAAAACGATATGGTACTGGACATCATTTTGATGATGTTTGTCATGGCAACGACAGTTCTTTCTCTGGCATCTCTTTCCCTTAAGAGCTTGCTATTGATTCGCTAGCTGATGTCAGGATTTGACTTCTCAATTATAAGTATCAAATCATAGAACAAGGGCAGTGGGTGCAAATTAGATGAAATGTATTTTAATATCCTATAAGAGCTTATTAAATTACCCAAACATTCAAATACAGACTGTCATCTGTTAGAGTTACAGTGAAGCACATTCTTATGTTATATAAAGATCTATGCATACAGGACCAATGGAAAATGGCTATTCTGCAATCTCCATTCAAAATTATATAATAGATGCTTTCCCTCATATGTGAAAGGATTATGCTGTAGTATGAAGGCATAATAATCGACAGACAATACAATTAATAGTTTTACCTTTAAAAACATTTATTTTACTTTTAAAGTTATGTGCATGTATGTGTATCCGTGTGTGGGACTGTGAACAGGTGACAGTGGGTGCCCAAGGAGTCCAGATAAAGGTGTCACACTGCCTAGAGTTAGAGTTACAGGCAATTTTTAGCCACATATTCTGGGTGCTGGGAACTTAGCTAGGGTCCCCCGAAAGAACTGCATGGGGTCTTAGCCACTGAACTATCTCTTCAGACCCCAATGATTTTACTTTTATCCTTTGAAACTCATATTTTATGTAATTAAATATAGATTCTCTATTTATAATATATCTCTCAAAATATTCTTTTTTTTTGCTCACGTATCTCATAGCGCATGTAGCTAGTAGTAACGTCCAAGTCTTGCGGCACGCATATAGTGTGTCTAGCTAGTACTTTTCTAAATACCTCACCACAGTTCCTCTTTAGGTCATGGTTCTCTATGTTAGAAAATGATAAGGGCATAAGGGATACAGAATATTTAAATTATCCCCATAGTGCAGCTAGGAAGGGTCACAGTCACTAAGGACATTTAGGTAGTCATGATGCCAGATCGAGAGTTTGAAATTTTGAGCAACGCTGTCACATACCTGTCACCCGAAATGAAACCACCCTACCACCTTCTCAGCACCAACAACACCTGCAAAACTACATCCTTCTGTAGACTATACTGTGAGTGACGCTGCTCACTTAATTTCTCCCTGCCCAATGCACACCCTGTCCCCTTGCAAGCATGCCATCAAGGGATCTATCAGCTTGGTCCGGCGGAACAGTAGCTTTCCTTTCTCTCAAGAGCACTGACTTTGTTAATGTCTTTGATTTCTTGAGCTGCAGTATTTTCACTGGGCAAAAAATGGCAGTAAAACTTCTTGCCTTTTGTAAGTCTCATATTTTAAGGATCAAACAAGGAAGGAAGTGCAAAGGCCTTTACAAAACAGAAAACACATCGCAATGGTACATTTTCAGCTGGGTACAGTAATGACGCCTATTACCAGCACCCAGGAGGCTGAGGCAGGAAGACTGAGAGTTCAAGGACAGCCTGGGTTATATACTGATGCTTTAACTTATGATCAAATATGTTATGTCTTAGGAGGTTCTTCCAGGCAAGGTTTCAGGATGGTTTCTATTCTTTGAAGCTGTCATCAACTCTTAGAAGTGTTTTCCAAACTAAAATGAGTTATTGAGAGAACTGTTAGCATTATAACATTTGTAATAGAAAGGATAGCATTTGCCATATGTTCAAAATATTCAGACTTCAGGGACACAGAGCAATTGTGAACAAGGATCCAACAGGAGCCGCCCTAGGCTCTGTTTGCTCTTGGCTGCCTCTCTCGTCTCTCAGTCATTTCTTCAGCTCCTTCTTTTCCTCTGTGTGTTTCTGGGTGTTCCCATTCTCTGAGATCTCGACTGGCATTTGGCATAGTGCCCCGGTTTGTAACTGTATCAGACTGATCAGCTTTCAAAATTTTACTCTATGTCACATTCTCAAAAGGGACTCTAACTAGTCTAATAACCTGGTAAATGTCAAAGGTTTAACAAATTTCTCCCGTTGAGCTGAACTGAATAAGGCATCCACGAGAGACCTGACTTTGATGTCATCATTTCCTAATGACACCTGACACAATTAGAACTTTCCCCAGAGGATGGAAATCGAAAGCTCACAATTTGGCTAGCAGACGTTTGTAGGTCTAAAAAAATCTAGGTTAGATATTGATTAATTGTCAACACTTAAGAATCCAGAGTTATAAAGTTGCAGCTGTCTGACTTCTGTTCAAATGTCAGTACTCTGGCTGGCAGCGATGCTGGGTCCTGCGTGGCAGCCGCAGCGGTAGCTAATGAGGAGTTGGTTCCTTCAAAGGGCAGGCTGTGCTCTGCGGTTAAGGAGCCTCAGTCCTTCAAGTTCATCTGTTTATGCCGTCTCTCGGGACTCTGTAGGACATGGGTTTGTGACTCTTGGTGAATTCACCGAACGAATGTCAGTAAATCCCATCTCTCACCCAGTTAGTCACGGGTGACGTCATGAGCAGATGGCTTAAGGAGAACATATGCTGCCGATCTGCTTCTCTTAGCTCACTGATGGCTTTGCCAGCATTTTAAACAATTGCATCGTGTGTCACAACCTGTGAGTGGAGCATCAGTTTAGAAGGAGAGAAGCTGGAGATTTGTTCAGCTGTTTATTTTCAAATGCCAGACGAGAACGGCTTCGAGGTTTGATCTGCAGCTCGAGATAGCATGCTGCCAACTCGGTAACTGAGGAGTCTGTACACATTCCAAATGCTGTGCCTGGCATAGCCCTGTGATGTCAAAATAGCAGGCAGGGCGTCTCCAGCAACGTTAACGTACGGAGTATGAAAGGCCTCCGGTGAAATCTCTCCAGGAGTGACATATTCCTTGGAAGGGGGCGGGGCCTTAGAGAGGGTCGCACTTTAACACTTTTATAGAGTTTTATCCCACCCCTATTCTCTTTGCGGAAGGTGAGAAATGTCTCCCTGAATACATTCATGAAAAAAGATGGAGCCATTAATAGCAAGGGGCAATTTCACAAAAGGGCTATATACCTCATGCTCTTTAGGAATAACCCTCCTTTTTCCCCTTGGAGTTCTAGAGTCTTCCTTCATTAAATCAGAGGATTAAATAGAAGAAAGAGACAAAGATCCCCAAGAATGTCCCAAACAAACATTATGTACATAGTTGTCACAATTGACACAGAAGAAGAAGCTAGTGGATAAGGGATTCTTATGTCATTTTAGCAAGGCAGTGTAATTAGGGAGGTGGGGATGGATAGAACTGCTGGGGAGCCTAGGAGAAGCATGGCTGTGTGATGTGAGGGAAGTTATCTTTTCTTCTTGACAAACTCACAGACAAAATACATGGTAAGATGACACTCCGTGTCATTCCACCTGCCTGAACTCAGCATCTCCACACAGTCTTCATGGCCATAGGGGTCGCTAGGCTCCCCCTCCTTCCAGTTGCTGTAGTTCTGCAGTGGGCTGTTGTCCGTGAACACATGCTGTCCCTCCCTCTCAAGGTCATTCACTCCAATGAACACTCGGAAGAAGCCACTCTGGGCGACATAGTCTGCAATAAGTGTGTTCACAGCCTCGTCCTTGGGCATGGCTAGCATCCCTCCCCGGATCCTGCAGTGGGTCAGGGATTCCCTGTAGTTCTTCTCCTCCTGCACGAGGTAGTAAAATTTCTCTTCAGTTTCTCGGATCCCTGCTATAACTGAAGGGAGGAGAGGAAGAATGTCATAATCAAGACAAAAAGAAGCGAGCACCTATCTAACATCCGATCTTAATGCACTTGCTCAGCTTCAAGAGCTGTTTTTGCAAGTCGTAACGAGGTAGTCACTCAAATCATTTCTTCTGTGCCTTTCTGTTTATCAAATGAAAACAAAAGTTTACCATATGTCCTCCTTCCCTTTCCTCCTTAGCTTCCCACACATCTGTCCAATAGCAACTCTGGTAACAGAGTCCAATTAACGTAAGTTACTACCTGGAGCATCTTACCATTTTTTTCAACCTAGTTTATGTTTCAGGTATATTTTGTTCCCCTTTCTTCTTCATCCACACCTTGCATGTCTGGGAAGACCCTGATAATCTTTTAGATCTCAGAGAAAATGAATTTTCTTATATAAAGTTTTTTCAATGCTCTCTGCTGGACATGGAGTCTTCAATGTTCCCATTCTCCCTTCCAATCTCATCTCTTTTATACCACTCAGAACATTCTACTCTGCTTGCTTGTCTATATCTTCCCTTGAACTGTGAAAGTCTTGAGGTCAGTGCTCATGTCTGATACTCTGCAATCCAGTGCCTAGAACAGTCTAAGAAATGGTAAATGCTTATTAAAAGTAAATTCAATGTACAATCTAGGAATGATAAAATTTTTCCACTCATGTACTATAAGTGCAGATGAAAAACATTTGTGGGCCTTGGTTTTTTTTGGCTGGATTTGGTTCCAGTTCCTAGCACATGCAAAGGACTGTGGACTGCTACCCTTATGGTGAGTTTATCCCCAAGTAAATAAACCTTTGTTATACTCCATGCCAGGCTATTGTGGAACTCTTTGATAACACTACAAAAGTGTCTCTTTATTCTTTTGGCACAAATTACCCAACTCTGCTCTTTTCTCCTTCCCTTTGGTGGACCAGCCTGACTTCATTTTTAGAAGCCATCTTGTTACATGGTCAGAATAAGTTCATTCCTGTTTTCTATAAAACTTGGATTTGACCATGTCTTGACCCATTTTCCCGAAATTTAGCATGTTCCACACTTTATACCCTAACCTCCACTCTGATAAGATATGATGTTCTGCTGCTATTTACATACTGTTCTACATAGCTAAAACAAACAAACAAACAAAAACAAAGCAAAACCGAAACCTTGGAAACCCCCTAGCTTTAGAGTTTGAAGGCTATATAAGCCCTACTTTTTCTTATGTTTAATGCAGTTTTCTCAAACCCCATTTTATGCAGACAGCCCTGTCATACAGAAAAATTAGACTTGTTTAATTTTACCAAAGAATTTAAGGAATGGTCTTTATTCCCGTTTGAGAAGATTGACATCCTCTTTTAGCAAAGATCCTTTCCCTACCAATATACCATACCCACGTGATTGAATCTGTGCAGTGAAGTAAAAAAGTACTGGAATTTGAGAGGATAAGCAGTATTTTGAGAGGCTTTTGAACTGTGATACTTGCTTGACTCAAGGCATTTCCTGCTAAGGAATGTAGTGTTGAAAGACCAGATTGATAAATAGGAAGCAGAGCAAGGAGAAAGCTATGTTTACCATTCTTGATGAACTTCATAGATGTCTTGAGACGAGCGACACTAAGATCCAGTTGTCCCACCACTTTCCGGTATCTTCCACAGTCGCAGACGGTGCCTTGGAAATGACAAGAGCTGTGAATTCACACTGAATCACACGAAGACCCACTGGAGAGAACTTTTACTCTCTTCTCAATGTTCTCTAGAATTTTCTAGTTCGGTTGCATCTCTTTATGAGCCACCAAATGTTTAACTTTTCATTTAAAACAGGGTATCTACTTTATCATTAAGAATTCATAAAGTATCTCAAAAATATTTGAAATGAGTTTTAAAAAAACAACTTTAAATGAGAGTTTCACAAGGAATGAATGAAACCAGCCTCCGTGCGCTGTGCACACACGGCGGGCCATTTGCCATTTTTGTTGACTATAGAAATGGTCGGCCCAGCCTCAGAAGAAATTCTTTGCAGCTTCCTTAGAACATATTTGCAGCCAGGCCTCTCGCCTGCTACTGCATTATTCACAAGCTCACACAGCTCTCCCAAGATAGAAGAAACTTTTCATGATTCAACCACATGTTAACTCTGATTATCCACGTAAAGTAAAGCTGTCAGGTTTCAAATGCTACATTTAAATACTGTGAAGAGATGCAGTTTCAGTTTTAAAAGGCATCTGTCTAGTTGGACAATGTCTAATGGAGTAACTATTATTTTAACGTGTTATACAACTGCCTTTATTCACCCAGTTTTCTAACTACGTTGTGTTTGAGCGAGGAGGAGCAGAGTCCAAGAAAATAGTGGTCAACTCAAATGATTCTTTTATTTCTGTTTAATGGGTGCTATGTGTAGTTTTCCATTTCTTTATTTCTTGGCAGTATGAGAAGTTAAACTAATGTTATTAGCCAAGTGGACAAATATCTCGTTCTTTAATTGATCCATGTATGCAGATAAGCACAAGAAATATAAGACAATTAATTCTCTGGGTCTTCACTAGCTCATTGTAAATAGACACAACTGGAATTTTCCCCAAACAACCTACTTGCTTCCTCATATCAAACATTACAAGATGAGTTCGCTGAGGACTGTCCTAGCTCACTCAGGGCAGGCTCTGTATCTCGGTAGCCTAAAGGATGAGCATAGGAGGCCACTCACGGGCTAGTATTTGGTTCAGATTCTCAGGACACAAGGCATGGCTGCTGATGCAGTTCCTGGCGTGGACTTTTCCCTTGGTCACAGATGCTGAGCCCTACTCCCTGATATGCTGGGCTTTCCTCTCATCATGAGCATGACAGGGATGGAATGTGCCCTCATTTCCTTCCCTGGGGTTTGGAAAGTCACCAGTGGGAAGACAGGAAAGTTCTCTTTCTCAAACAAGGTTGAATGCACGGGAAAGGGTTCTCTTTTCTTTAAAAAACAGTGTAGTTTTGAGCTGGGTACATTTGGTGAGGTGTCGTAAATCAACAACAACAACAAACCAAAATGAGCATGCCGTTCTTACCTGCTTTGCCTTTTTCTCCAGGAATGCCAAGCAGACCCTTTTCCCCTTTGTCACCTAAAGAGAAACAACAACAACGAAAAACGCACAATAAATAAACAGTGAGGAGTCTGAAGCTGACAAAGCACCTGTGTCTCTAAACCCAGAGGAAACGCCTCCAGAATGTCATTTTCATCCTCTCCACCTGATATCCCTTCGCTTTTTGTAACTGATCTGCTTCGGGTTGTTCACAGACAACAGACAATCAGGTGAGCCACAATTTATTAAGATTGATCACTGACATTCTTGCAGGATATGTAAAGAACCTTTGAATTGGCGGTGCCCGTCTCACCGCTAGTATGGCCTTTGCCTTAGCAACAAGGCCAATACAACGTGCAGCCTAGTTTTAACTTTGAAAATACAATTGGCTTGCAAACCTGTATTCACGAGTTAACCACATTGAGCTGCCTGTAGTTACTACTTTCCATGCCATTCTATGTGATTTTTACCTTGGTTTAAAAAGAAAAAGCACAGATTTTTTTTTCAGATGAATCCCACAAATATTTGCCATTTACTTTGTGCAAGACTAATGGCTAGGCACTTGGAGAAAATGCACAGAAGGACAAGATTAAACTACCGACTTCAAAGCATTTCCAGTTTTTAGTCAAGAAGCGACACATGCAAGCATCTGCCCTGCAAAGTCGTTACACATTAGCCTGAAATGTCAACCCTGGTAATTTTTCTTTCTGTTCTGCTTCCCAGGGGACCATCATCTTACTCATTCAGAGGCCTCCAAAAAATAATTCTCAAAGAAGTAGGCTTTTTGAAACAGAGAGAAAGAAACAACAAAAAAAATAATGCTTTCTTTTAAACTTCAAAATAACTCCTGAAGTCCACATCAGACGCAGTAATTGACAGGAAAAAGCTTTTGATTTATGAGAGAAAATGTTCGGCTGAGGTTCTTGAGGATCAAAAGAGAAGACATTGAGAGGAGTGAAATAAAGTTTCATGCTTCAGTGGTGATCTGGCAGTATAAGAGAAAAAATTATGACGGATAAACACAGGCTGAAGGTCACCCAGGCTCAAGGAGAAGGAGTCCTACATGGGTAAGAAGTAAGGGAAGGCGGGAGGCTGGGTGTACGATCCAACAGGACACAGTAAAAGACAATGAAGTCAGCACTGACATTCTGCTTGATGTCATCCTTCCCGAGGCCACTCTGCAGCTCACAGGGTCCCTTCTGTCACTCGCTCCAAGGGTGTCACCCATTATTCTCACCACTGGCTATTGGATGCTTCTCACTAAGAGCCTCTTATATGTTGAGGAAAGTACGTTCATTAGGATCCCATGGTTTTTCCAAGCATTTCCAAACTGATCTGTGCAGACATGATCTTCACAGTGATATCAGACATCGAGGTGCTTGCCTAACAGAAGGAAAGAGGCTCTTGACCTTCCAAGCACTGTTTAAGTGTGAAAGCAGAAGCCTCAGAACGTGCAGGCAAACAGTGCTGGACTGTGTGATCACATAACATAAGTCTGAGAGAGATGCTTCAAACTAAGATAACATACTTAGAAGGGAGTGAGAACAGGTAGGGCAGTAGGAGTAGGAAAAATGGAGTCCTGTACATGTAAACCTGACTATCAGCAACTTCTGCAGCAGTAGATAAAAGAGTTTGGGCAACAAAGAGCGGGTGAGAAACCGGCGTGAGAAGACATCAACTGCCTTGTGAGGAAGCTTGCTCACATCTTAGCTCCCTCCTAAAGATTCCATCATTCCCTCGAAAATCACTTAGGGAAGATAAAAAAGGTAGTGAGCAGTTAGTAGAAGAACGGGAGCATGCATTTACTAAACATAAATAAGTTGCCCACCATTCTGCACACTTCACTCGCAATATATTAAATCCCACAAGGTGGGTGTACTGATTGTCTTTATTTTACAGCTGAAGGAACTGGGGTTCACGGAGGCAAATGAAATGCTTGATGGTTTGGCAGTGTTGATGTCCAAATCCAGCTATTACCGACTCCCCAGTTCATAATGCCTCACAGGTAAGTTGGCTCATGTTTTGATGAAAGAAAGTGAAAACATTATCAAAGTGAAGGAAGCCAGGTCCCGAAAGACAAAGACCCTGGGATCTCACTTATAGAAGAAACTGAAGTCAGGCTTGTCACGATCTCACTTATAATAAGAAACTGAAAAAAGTCAGGCTTGTAGACGTAGACAGTGGTGTAGTGATTAGCAGATGCTGGAGAGGATAAGATCAAGGAGAAGCTGGTCCAGGAGGATGAAATTAGCATTAGTAGGAGCAAGAGCTGATGCTCTGTTGCACGACCAGCTGATTGTTGTTGTTAGTAATGTATTCTCTCCTTCCAAATGGCTAGAGGAGATCTTGACTGTTTCACTGCAAAAGAAACATTAAGTGTTGGAGGTGACAGACATGTTATGTGCATATGTATCAAAGTATCATATCACACCCCTTAATTCTGTATAATGGCAGGTAAAAATAAAACAAGAAAAATTTCTGGAAGACAATAGCAGTCTTTGTCATAAAAATATTCAGTTAAAAGATCATGAATATGTATTTATGAGATTCAAAGGTACTATCAGTTAGCACAATACCTCTATGAATGTGCATTTAATACTTCAATGTCTTATAATTTATATTTTGTTTGCACTTAAATCTCTTTAAAATTGATATGGATTAAACGTGGATTCTAATTCTGTTATAGTACCTCTTCTGAGTCAGTCTTATAGCGGACTTAAAATAAATACAGAGAACAATAATCTTCTTTAACTGGCTCTTTTGATTTCCATAGTCCCCCGAGATCAATCAAAGCCCCAAATTATTAAATGGAAACTCCAGAAATAAACAATTCATGAGTTTTAAATTATACACCATTCTGAGTAGCATAAAATAATCTCATTTTATTTTCCAGAATGAATCTTGCCCTTACATTATATCCACTCTGTATATGCTACCCAACCATTAGCTAATTGTTACCTCAGTAATCAGATGGACTGCCACATTACAATATTTTTAAATAACCCTATTTAAGCATTATGATCCTTTGTTACAATGCCTGTATATTTGTCTCTCTTAGCTCATGTGTGGCAACACATCTTCTCATATCCCCACAAGAAGGACCCTTTTCAGTGTGATTTTTTTAGATAAAAATAATTTGAGATAAATTTGAGCTATTTTGGAAATTAAAGATATTTTGAGAGAAAGATAGAGCCAACATTCACACAAACTTTCTCAGAAAATATTGCAACCGTCTTTCCCAATTAAGTTAGTGTTGTTAATCTCTTATTATTTTACATGATTTATATATTAAATTCCATCGTAAGAATGTATGAATTGGGGAAAAATTCATAGTAAATAAAGGATCTGGGTTATTATTTGCAGTTTCAGCGTCCTTTGTAAATCTTGGCTGTTTCTGTCAGAAAGAAGAGTGCTGGGCTTTTAAGGAAATAAAAATAGAAATAAATAAAAAACAAAATGACATACACTGCGATGTACTAACATTTCAAAATAAACCAAAAGCCTCGTAGGTGGTCAGAACAGGAAAGACCCCTGTGGACTGCAGCAGTAAAGACAATGTGGAATCACCCATCAGGCCTGATCGTCATGTGGGAAGTGGTTTCCTAAGTCAGTATCTGCCTTGTGACTGCTTTTTGGTGTTTTGACATGGAATTCTTTCCTTTTGCGACCAATTGAGAGACAAAGCACTGGAAGTCCAAGGGTTTGAATTCTGAACCTGCTGCTTTGTGGACAGGCTCTCGAATTTCCTTTAGCCTGCATTTCATCATCTCCTAAATGGGAATAATGGTACCTAATATGATGAAGTCATTAGCGGAGTCAATGAAGCCATCCCATTTTATAATGGAATCCACATTGGCTTCCATTTAGAGGATGCTGAGCCAACCTAAGCCACAGGGCAGCTAAATGCTGCAAGCTGTGTCCTTAGCTCGCTTACAGAGGATTTGGGTTTAGAATATCTATCTTTCCAAAACTAATTATGATTTCAAGTCACCCACAAAACTTTATTTGGGCCTGTGAATGGGAATATGTCTACAACAAGTGTCTTGAGTAAAGAATTGGAGGTCACATTCGGAGGAACAAAAGAAATCAGAATGCTTTCAGTGGGAAAGGATTATTGGTCTTAAGCAAAAACATTTATTTTGCCATGAGATTGGATTTACCTACACTAAATCATTCTTATTTCTTATTCCTAAAATGAAATATTGACATCTGGAAAGCTACCTTAACCATGCAGGTGACAGCATTAAGGTCAGCCTAGAAAGAAAGCTGACATTAATCCAAGTCAATGAAAAACTTTGTAGGGCCATGGCCAAATGAGGACAATACATTTCCAAGCGCTGATTGAAAATGAAATTAACCCAGGTGAGCCAAAACACCGTGTCTCCATTTTTCTTAAGACTTGCTCATAAATTTTGATGGCACATCTCTATAGGGGAAGAAAATCTCAGCACTCAATGGTGGAACTGCTTGTGTAGAAAAGCAATACATAAGGGAATAAAGAGTAGAAAAATAAGGTTACCCTGTAGGAAATAGTATGTTTTATCATTTGGATTTTACTCATTTCTATATATACCTGTGAATATCTATGTGTGGGTAAACATGTATACTAAGCAAGCTTGCTATCATTGAGCTATATCCACAGCCCAGTTTTCTGTATTCTTGATACAACAAATTCCTAGAAAGTTTTTGCTATGTTGTAGGCATAAATGAAAAATTCTAGTCCTCAGTTAGTTTATGGATGTACACACACAGAGAAACTTTGTGGGTGTATGTGTATTTATGTGTGCAAGTATGGTGTATGTACACCTGTTTGTGTGGGTATGCATGCCTGTGTATGTGTGTGCTTTCAGAAGTCAGGAGAGGACACTGAATGTCCTGTTCTGTCATTCTTTGCTGTGTTCCTTTCAGACAGGGTCTCTCACTAGACCTGGAGCCTTACTGGTGACCAGCAAGCCCCAGTAATCCTCCTGTTTTCACTTTCTTTTCTCCTCGTCATGACATCGTCTTTGAAAATTGGACTTCAGGATTTGAACCCTGGTCCTGGGCTTCTCCAGCAAGTGGTACTACCTATCACGTTATCTTTCCAGCATCTTGTTCATATGCTTCAAGTCAAGAGACCCAGTAAGTTTTCATGTTTTACTCCCAGAAAGCAATTCTCGGGGACGAATAAGAAGATGCAGCCTGGGAGTGACTGCAATGATGGAGGTGCACACTGAACACTGCAGACCTGAGGGTGAAGGGAGAATTGACCTGAAGAAGGAAAGCTTCATTAGCACCCCATTGCCGAACTTGATTATCAAACATTTCTGGAAGTCCATCCACTTTGGGGCATAGTCATGTCATGCTGAAGATCTTTCACTTTTCCTTCTCGCTGTCATTTACGGCTGGGTTTCTTAAATTGTGGGTGGTGACCACATTTGGGGTTACATAAGCAAATGTAGGTGTCCTACGAAACTTGACAAGAGAGAAACGTTTCCGAAAATGCCAAGAGCAAAACCTACTTCAGTCAGATGAAGAATCTGATGTGTTTGTAGCAGTGCTCGCTTCTACTGCACCCGTAACTTCACTGCAGCCTTGATTCTGAGCACACAGCAGGTACACTCTGCATAGTGTGTTGTCATATTACACAGTACGGCGGGTCACTGAAGTACCTTGCTTCAGACTCAAAATGACTGCACGCTATGGGTTTTACTGTTTTTATTGTATATAAAAAGTTATATAAACATAATGTTTCATGTGTGGAAAACAAAGAGCACATTTTCCTATCGTCATTCCTTAGCAGGTAAATATCAACTTAGCATAGCTTTTGCTTGAATAGTGTTAAAAGGTTTGATATTGATAATTAAAAGTTTGAATTGTTGACTTGAGTTTCACAAAACATCATTAAGTGAAGTTTGGCTTGGAATTTGGGCAGAATTCTCAACAATTTCTGAAATGACTCTAGACATAGTCTGCCATTTGTACTGTATATTTATGCAAAGCAGCAAACACCTTCACACACTGAGTCAACTCAGTGGCTCAATTATTACTTTTAAAACATAAATATCCAACTAACTCAGTACTGTTTAGTGTTAGGTTGCAAGTTTTCCATTGAACCTGTATCAACCTTGCATAAACCATTTGGATGTTTTTGGATTTTGTTCATTTCCTTTGGTTTCTTTATTTTAATATTATAAGATAATTTTACAGTAAGCATTTTAATTTAGTGATTTGTGTCTTCCAACACTTTTTTATTATAAGACTGTCTTGAATATTCTTAATACTTTTCATTTACACATACATTTTGCATTGGCTTACTGATTTTCAAAAGAATATCTCTGAGATTTTGATCAAAAAGCTATAGAATACAAATATCATATCTCCAGGCACTAACATAGAAATAATATAGAGTTTTGCAATCTGTGATTTTGCTTCCTTTTCCTCAGGTACCCTTTAATTTCATTACCATTGCATTGTATTTGCTACGAAGAGTTTATATAAGTTTTATTAGATTTATTTCTAAGTGCACAATAACTTTGATACTATGATAAATAGTATTATTTTAATTTCATCATTTATAATACAGAAATTAAATTGATTTTTATTTGTGTTTATAAAAATCATATCTATACAAATAGCTTATCTTCAGCTTATTAGACTTTTCTGGTTATACAATAAATCATCTACATATAGTGATTCTCAGTCTGTGTTCTACTCATGTGTTTCCTGGCTCTTTTTCTTGAATTTGTGCTCTTGCTAGGAGCTCAAGAGAAATGTTGGTTTGAGCTGATGCTAGGGGCCGATACTAATCTTGCTACCAATCTCAAGAGAGACGTTTTCATCTTTTTATTATTCAACATTTTTAAATAATTTTTTTCTTGTTGATATTGTCTTTTTGACCAAAGTATTTTCTTGTATTTTTGGTTTGCTATGTTAAAAAAAAAGCACAAATTGGTCAATGTCTAATTAAAAGTTTTTCAGATTTTCTGGAGTTTTAATTAAAAATATGGAACGTTTTCCTGGGCTTCCATTCTTTAGCAAACCTTCAGAAACAACTGAATCTGAGCAACTCTCTATTTACATATCAGACCCTTGGCGCTTCGTTCCCCTGGACATAGGACACTGTATTTGGACTGGCAAATAGCCTAGGACGAAATCATACAGGATGCTCAACTTTAGTGGGGCCCCTTCTGCTCTAGAGCATGGTTGTCATGTTCCTATTAATTTGGGCAGTTTTTTCACGCCTTCAAATGTATGTATGTTTATTTTTTTAATCTAGTCAGTTAGACTTTTCAGAATGTAACCTGACGCAGACTGTAAAGTCTTACCCAGGATTTTCGTTTTGTTATTAATTATATTAGTGTGCTTCCATCCTTGCAACTTGTTATTGCCAAGATATGCATGTTGAGATTATCCTCAAGTTTGAGAATACAATCTGGTAAATCCTTTGTTGTGTGTACCTGAGATGTCTGATTTGGAATACTCCCGAATATCTCTGGCTCTATGTCTGTCAAACATTTTTTTCCCTTGTCTGTGTCTCCACATTTCTAGTGCTGAATGTCCCTGGGCACAGTCAGTACTTTAGTTTCATGACTCGTATTGGTCTGCACAGTGGGAGGCTGGAGTATTCTTGGAGGCCATCCCTACATTGTACTTGTTAGTAATAACTTAGCTGATTATGGAAGTAACTTCAAACTACATAAACATATGACCTTAAGTCCAAACTAAATGTTTTTCTTCACTTAAGCCTTAGTTCACTCCCAGAATACTTGTGTCCACTCCCAAACCATTCAATACAAGAAGGAAATTAGATAGAGGGAAATTAGAGCTGGAGACAGTGGTCTTAACCCATGCTTTGTCAGTGGCAATATATCACTTCAGGAATGTAAATGTCTTAGGGCTTAAAAAGAAACATACCTTCACACACACATATATGTATATATGTGTGTGTGTGTGTGTAATAAATAAACTCATTTATATTTTATATATAAATATACCTATATTCATATATATAAATATAAATAAGTAATATATATCTATACGTATTTATATATGTTAGACTTATTGGAGGGTCATTCATTTAAAAATTTTAAAAATAATGTACCACGGGGGCTGGAGCGATGGCTCTGCGGTTAAGAGCATTGCCTGTTCTTCCAAAGGTCCTGAGTTCAATTCCCAGCAACCACATGGTGGCTCACAACCATCTGTAATGAGGCCTGGTGCCCTCTTCTGGACTGAAGAAAGAATACTGTATACATAATAAGCAAATAAATAAATATTAAAAAAATAGGGTATCACTATTTCAGATAGATCTGACAGAGATAAAATGTATCAATTTACTTTTTTTTTTTACCAAGACATATGGCCATGTAAAACTATGTTAGGCCTCCTCTCAGGGTTTGGGGAAGGGCCTGCCCAAATGAAGAGTTCTGAAGCCAACATCTCTCAGTTTTTTGATAAAACCACAGAGCTAAGGTGGCTTTCCCAAGCTGTGAGGATGTCAACCAGTGGTGAATGTACAAGAGAGACGCCCATCCACGTCTTCAAAGGCAGCTGAAGAAAGTTCCTTAAGGAATCAAGTGTGGAAAGCTGAGGTGAGGGAGAAAAGAGGAAGTACAGAGCCTCCAGCTGAGACCAAAGGGCACAGCCTCAGCTCAGATACCACTTGGGCAGCCTGCTTTGAAGAATCTAGTGTGGTGCACAATGAGGCACTTGCTAAATTATTCAAAGGCTCAAGTGTTTATGAATGATGGGGAGCACATAGAGGATGCACTGTCATAATATTCATGGCACTAAGCTTCTTCCAATCTGAGCCTTAGTAGAATTATTTCTTCCATTTTCTCTCAAATGTCTTTTCCCGGTGCATAGAAACATGTTACCATTCCTTAAGACCCACTTCAGTTTCTCCCCACATCCGTCTTGTTTTCTTTTTCTCATTTGGAGTCTCTAGTATGCATGTTGTTCAGGATTAGAATTCTTCTTGAGAAAATCTTATCTTTCTGAATGATCTCCGAGCTGCTGAAAATGCATGTTAGTTCTCCTGCAGCTTTGTGTTGCCAAGCAAGCAGAACAATGCCTGTATACGAATTACTGAATAGGAGAACAACTGGGACTTGTTACCATTGTGAGGACTTATGAGAAGAGTACAGGGAAGGAGAGACTAGGTAATAAAAAGTCACTATCTCTTTTCTAATATCGAGGCTGCGAGGCTGCACTTACAGCGGAATATGTCCGAAGAGTAGGCATTTTTGTATACACTTCCGTTTCCTATCCTGCTAATAGATTATGGAGACAGTAGTCTTCATTTCTCTACTTTATACATGTTTACATTGTGTTTTGTGAACAATCGTGACAGTATTTAAATCATGGTATCCTTGGGCCTTAGCAAGAGTTAATAGCTAGCGATAGATCCAGGGAGAGAGCCTACCGGAAGTCCAGGCTTGATTCTTTTTTGAAGTCTTGTTTAATTTTGCTTCATAGAATTCTGTCTGAGCTATGAGAGTTTTACTTATAGAGGACTCAAGTTAGGGAGTCAGAGCAGACGCTGCTTAAAAGGAAGAAAAGCCATCATTGTCATGACATAAAATGTTTAAAATGTGCTCACCGTGTGCTCCCTTGCTTTAATTTGCACTGAAAAGTAGCACAGCGTTACTTACCTTTCTTGCCAATGGGGCCAGACTTGCCAATATTGCCCTGGGGTCCCATATCACCCAGGTCTCCTTTAACTCCTGAAAAGGAAAGCAATTCATTCTTAGAGCATGAGGCGTTTTCTTTAAGGATGTAACTAACAAGAAGACAGATATATATATATATATATATATATATATATATATATATATATTCCACCTAAGATACCTAATAGTGGTAGTTAGTTTTCTCAACACTTAGGCTGACCTGTGGGCCATATCTGTGTGGGGTTGTCTTGGCTCTGTTCACTGAGTTGGGAAGACCCATTCATTGTCGGTGGCAGCATTTCCTGGATTTGGGTCTTAAACTATAGACACACATGAAAAGGCAAAGAAGGAGCCGGGCGTACACACACTAGCACTCCTTGCTTTCTGTTTCTGGCTATGGTTGCAATGTGTAAGACCCCCCCCCACACACACACAACCCTGCCCAAGCATCAGCTGCTGTCGCTTCTTGCCTGTGATGGACTGTCACTGCACCGAAAGCTCTTCCCCCTTCAAGTTGCTCTTTCTCTTCAGGGTATTCTATCACAGTACCAGGAAGTAAAAGCAAGACACTAACTTGTATCCTATGCTACGTGTATTATATTTAAACAGACTTAGACACTATCTATTAATTGAAATATGAGGGATTCTGAAAAATCCAAGTATGTTGGTATAAAATATATTCCAGTAGTCTTCTCAAATGCCCATAGCAGGAGGGGTCGTAAAATAAAGGGTAGGTAAGCAGTGGGGTTTGTTTTAGATGCGTTCACTTCTAGGTACATTCTGGCTTTGCTCTAGGATTGATTTCTCTCAGCTTTCAAACAAGATTTGACAGTTTTAGCTACATCAAAACAGGAAAGATAATGTGGAGCTATAAAATCTGGTGATGAAAGAGATGCCCGAAATTAGCTTGCTGAAGTTCTGTTGCTGGTTTTTGTCTTTTGAGACAGCATCTCGCGCTGTAGCCCAGATGGGCTTGGAGCTCCCCATGAGTGCCAGGCTGACCTCATATACAGCAGTTCCATCTCAAGCCTCATGGATGCTGGGACTGCAGATGTGACAGACCACAGCTCTCTTTTCTGCTGATCTTGTAATCCTAAAACTTACAATCAGAGGCCCCTATAATTTTCGAAAGTCATTTCTTGTCTTAGAAAATGAAAATAATGATAAAAATGATTTAAAAATTTGGGTATGGTGGCACACACTTTCAATGCTAGTACTCAGGAGACAGAGACAGACAGATCTGTATGAGTTAAAGGCCAGCCTGGTCAATACAGCCAAAGCTACACAGTGAGACTTCTAATAAAAACAAACAAACAAAACGAAACAAACTCCCCACGAACTAATAAGTAAGAAAAAGTGATAATATAAAACCATTTACTAGTTACAAATTGGTTTTTTGACAATAACTTAGAAACTAACATAAAACTTAAGTCAGTCTTTCTCAAATTGAGGGTCTAAGGGTTTAAGTATCTTTTCAACTCTTTAAATTATTCAAAAATTTAAAATGAGCGATCAATGGGAGCCATTCGGTGAGGGGTGGAGCAACTCAGGTGTTTAGACAATACATGGCGACAGCCAGAAGCCTTTTCTTTCTTTCTTTAGCTTTACTAAGGTTTTACTCTTAGTTTTATTTGAGAACATCCAAATACCTTTTGTGTTACACTTGTCTGCTTTGCTTCCACTCCCTGCAGGACCCACTACTGCCCGGTTATGTCATTTGTTTGTTTGTTTGTTATAAGAAAATAGAAGCAAAGAAATACAGAGATTGGGAAAAGATGAGCACTTCAAAGGACCAGGCAGCCCTTTCTACAGACACAGTTAAGTTTCTCATAACTCACCCTCCTCTCTTTTCTCAGAGACCGCTACTCCCTGAACTGCTCAGACCAGCATTAATGATACGGCTTGAGAAATATGACAAAGTCTAGCCATAGGTGCGTGGGCTGGTCATGGAACTCACATCTGAAGCACATTATATATATATAACTTTGGGACGAAGAGCATTGTGAAACTGCTAATTTCCAAGACAAAAGACGGGGAGAGTGAACGCTTGCACATTAGAACGGCCATTGCAGACAGGTTAGCCTACCTTTGGGTCCCCTGCGCCCCACTTTGCCATCCTTGCCTTCTTCTCCTCTGTCTCCTTTTTCTCCATCTTTTCCTTTTAAAACAAGACAAGAGAGAATTGTAGATCATATTAAATAAGGACTAAGCACATTGTCCCCATGGAAGGAGATAATGCTCCAAATGTCATTGCAGCTTGGATGTGAGGATCTACTAAGGCCACAGGGGTTGCACAACTGCAAAGAAAGAACGTGGTTTGCAGTCATTGGTGTCACTGCAGCTTCCTGCACTGAACTCTCACAAGACCAACTGTCTTCAATTTGTCAAGGGTGGGAGAAGGGCTCCTGGGTCCCTGTCCCTTATTGCTGAACTCTCGGTCACTGACAGATGCTGGGAGTGGGGAACGGCTCATTTTCTTTGCCTTTGAACCCATTCTTGATCCCATGAGACTTTAATAGATAGTCCAAAATTTATGGTCACCTAGAAGAGATCTCCAAACTCATGGCTCCATGGAAGGCATTGGTTAGACTCAGTGAGTCACAGAACACAAGAAATAGACACGGATATAAGAAATAGATATTTTTTGTGGAAGAAGAGAGGTAGATAGGGGTGGGAGGGAGTTAAGACATGATAGGGTATTAGAGAAGTCATTATGTAATCTACCTATGAAGTTGTCAAATTAATTAATTAATAAATTAGTAAAAGAGAAGTGGGTAGTCTAGTTTATCTTTTTACTTTTCTCCTATTAGCATTAGAGGAACCTGACAGATGAGACATGGACTGGAAAGCTAGGAATAGGAGCCTAGGAGTAGCAGTCAGCTGACAAGCAGCTGTGTGTGGCGGTGACTTAGCTACAGGTGAGTGTAGTGTCAGCACCTTGAACCATTCTAACTGGCTGAATGAAAGGCTTAATGAGAGGTGGAGAGGCATCTTGGACTATGAGTTAGAAGCTGTAGATTATAATATGGTGCTAGAGACTAATAGTTTGAGAAATTCTTTGATAAATCAGTGATAGAGATTTTTGATTTTGAAGGAAAACAAGGTTCAAACTTGAGTCCCAGCCCCTTCACTACATATCTGGAGGAATGTGAACATATTACCTTCTTTCCTGAGTCTCACATTTTTTTCCCTGAAAATTAAATAAAAATACCTACTTGAATGGGCTCCTAAGAAGTTTACACAGGCTAATATACACAGAAGATTGGGGCACAACTGGTATGTGATGATAGCAGCTAACGTTATCTTCTCCTTTTTTCTGTGTTCCCTCTTCCTTCTTGTGGAATATCACCTGCCCTCCCTGATTTGTCCAGTTGTTTTAGAATCAACAAGGTAAGAATGTGAATGTGCTTTGGCAATAAAGAGCATAACACATACTATGTTGTGACTAGATACCCACATTATCACCACGGCCATCTCAGGACTGCGGAAGCCAGAGGAATGATGGGAAAATTAGATACCAGGCTGTGAAGTTATCCAAGCATCTGGCTGTTTTACAAGAGCATCTGCAGGATCCTTCTGGATCTGGCTTTCATGACAATGCTTAGATGATCTCTGTGGTCAGACTGGAGGAGTTAAGGGTAGACTGGAGAGTATTTTGCAGTTGATGTTTATTTAGTGAGGTTAATATGTGCTGTGCAGTCTATTTTGACGTGGAACTGTGACAGTTTCAGGAGGTAGAAACTATGCTTGCTCTATTTCATAAGTGAAAACAAAAACAAAAAACAAGACACCCTCATTAAGATTCTGTGTCGTTAAGTACTTTTGAATTATCATAGAACTTCTGAGTATTCCAGCGAGAACTCTCCCAAGTCTATTTCTGCCCTCCTAATGTAAACTTGGCACATACATTGCAGACATTTGTGACTCCTAGCGGATGGTGGATTTTAGGAAAGTTGGCACTTTGTCAAAGTTTTCAGAGGGAAAAGTGGAGTTACAAGGAAAATAATTTGACAATTAGGATTACCTTTTAAACAAGAAAGATAGCAGGAATTATATTAGTATCCCAAATTGATTAATATAGAATGTATCTTTGAAGTGGATTTGTTGAGACCTGGGTTGCCACTCACTACTAGTTGAGGGATTCCACCTCCTGGAAACCACTTTATCTTTCTGAGTATTGTTTTACTCAGTGATAGAATGGATAAAGTAATTTTTTTTATTTGTGTGCATGTATGTGTGGTGTGGGAGCCCCTCTGTATGCTATGAATGTGATTGGTTAATTAATAAAGAAACTGGCATGGCCTAATAGGGTAGAACAGAGCTAGGCAGGGAAAACTAAACCAAATGCTGGGAGAAAGAAGGGCGGAGTCAGGGAGAAGCTATGGAGCTGCCGCTGGAGGCAGACGTGCTAAAACTTTGCTGGTAGACCACGGCCTCATGGTGATGCACAGATTAATGGAGATGGGTTAAATTAAGATGTATGAGTTAGCCATTAAGAAGCTAGAGCTAATGGGCCAAGTAGTGATTTAATTAATATAGCTTCTGTGTGATTATTTCAGGTCTGAGCTGCTGGGCAACCGGGAAACAAACAAGCGGCCTTCTTATAGTGTATATGTTTTCCAAGAGACTTTTTTTGTCCCTTCATCTCTTCCTTTCTTTCTTCCATCATTCGTACCCCTAAAGTGACATTATATAGAAAACAGTGTCTTCTCTACCATTGCCAGATTGAGTTAAATTCTTCTGATTACCTTTGTTGTTTAAAATACCTCTTTATATTCAATGTGTCAGCTCATTTCTGTTTAGAAATCCAGTCTTCTGTGAGTTAAGGGATAGGCTGCCATACTAAACAATTTTTTTTTTGCTTATACATAGAGAATTTAGCACTGCCTGGTACTTGAAATGTAATGGAATTTGCTATGCTTTGTATAAAGCATATGACACTTTACAAATGTTATGATAGTGTTATTGAATATTATGAGCCAAAGTGTCCATACTAGTTGGCATGTACTTTATCATTTGAGTCCCATGACAACCGTTCAGAAGGATGCTGTTCTCAGCTTCAATTTACAGATGAGGGGACGAGGTCAATTAGAGGTCATGTAACATCTGCATGGCTGAAGCATGTGTAAATGGTAAACTTGGGATGAAAATTTTACCATTTTAATGGGTTTCTTTCTTCAAATCCCATGTTCTGCCCAAGGGCAGTGATTTTGGGTGAGGTCTTCTCCCACGCTTGGGACCTGGATCACTGATCCAAAGGGACTAAAGAGACAGACACATCCTGCACAGTAAAGGGCAAGATTGTAAAGCCACATGGATGTTAATATTGGTACCATTATTGTTTCTTTTCCCTGCTTCCCTCCCTGTGGTCTTTCCTATTCAGTTCCACGCAAGTGTCTCACTGGAGGAGGCAAGGTGAATGGCTCCTGAAGGGAGATTCTGGAGGACAGAAACCATGGTTCTTGTGATCTGTATGGCTGTACCCAGCCGTCCTGCTAGAGCCGAAGTAAACAACGTGTGCCTTTGCCTTACACTTGGGTCCTGCTTATTTAATCAATGAAAACAGAGGGAGACATAAAATCAAACACTAGGGAGGACCCCCATGTCTCACTGTTGACTTTTAGTCTCTTGGAAATATTTCACTGGACTGCTGGGCATATTTAGACCACCATTCCTTCATTAAAAAAAGAAAAAAAATCAAAACAAACAACAACAACAACAACAAAACACATTTGAAAAACCAAGGAAAAGCTAAGCTGCACTAAGCTGAGTCAGAGTTTCTAGAAGTCATTTGTTTGCCTCTCCAGGCCATCCGCATGCTGTAGTAATCTTCGCTGCAGAATTCCACTAGAGCAGACAGTTAACCATATTTCCTTAGGTAGAATTTATTTGAAATTAAAAAGCAGAACTCAAAGTCTGTGCCATGAATTCACGTGGAGTAATTACGTAAAAAAAAAAAATTTCTTACATCCATTTTGTATGTCTTAAGTCACGGGTAACTGTGTCCTTCCTATTGCTAGAGTAATCTGAGTGACTGGAGAGGCATTGTCAGCAATCTGTTCGCCGTTCAAATGGAGTGGCCCATGCAGCCCGAGCCCCCCAAAGCTGCATTCAGTCCTAAAGCAACCTCCTCGTCTGCCTTTCATTCTGTTTTCAAATTTGCCAGTTCTGTCTCCTGCTTTGTGGCTTTCAGTGCCTCCTAGAATAAGGTTGTCATAAGGGACCCGCACTGTTCCTTCTCCAGGGATTTGGCTGAAATACTTACACCTTTGTGGGACCTGAAGCTTTTCTTTTTGCTCACCTTCGTCTGTTTTCCATTTCCTTTAGTGCTTTAATTTGCCCCCTGTCTGCTGTTGTTTCAATCCAGTCCCTTCTACACAGCTCTCGCTAAGGCAGAGGGACTGCACAGGATTGTTGAAAGGCATTGTTTCAACTCTCTGAATCTTAGTGTTCTTATGTGTAAAACTGAGAAAAATCCATCCTACCCCATGGAATGATTTCAAGAGGAAGGTATCACATCCAGTTGGTTGAAGAGTATTTGCTACTCATTTGGGGTGCCCCTCTGTTGGTGTTTTAATAAGAAGTCATAAAGTGATCATCCCTGTGTATTTACTACCCCAGCCAGTACCCTGTAATCTTTATTGCATTTCGCTTGGTTACACGGTCTTTTTGTTTTCACAATAAAAATTTTCACTGGGAGATGAAAGACAGATCCGCCAGCACTGAGACATAATCACTAACTTGATGCTTCTGATTCAGCTATTTATTTCTGATTAGAAAAAGACAATTACAGATATGACTATATATTATCCTTAAACACTTCAACAATGTCTCTAAAGAGTAGGAACGGCCTCCTGTGTAAACACATCCCTGTCGCAGCAATAACGCTTTCTGTTCAAGTACTTGTTCAGATCAGCTTCATAGAATACTGTGAATACTCCCTTATTTTGAGTCTGTATTGTTATGCTCTTGAAGTCCAATCTAGTAAGAAGGAGAAATGAACAGTCAGAAGTTTATTTCTCCTTCTTACTAGGTTAGTAAGAAGCTGAAGTTCACAGGTGTGAACTTGAGTCCTTTGAGAACAAATCATGGACAATAAGACCATTTTTTTTCTGTTGAAAGAGTTGCTAATAAACCAAAGGAAGCTTGTGGCAAGAC